TTTAATAAGCTGCCTAGGTTGGTCATAACTTTCCTTCCAAGGAGTAAGGGTCTTTTAGTTTCATGGCTGAAGTCACCATCTGTAGTGATTTTGGAGCCCAGAAAAATAAAGTCAGCCACTGTTTCCACTGTTTCCCCATCTATTTGCCATGAAGTGATGGGACCGGATGCCATGATCTTAGTTTTCTGAATGTTGGACTTTAAGCCTACTTTTTCCACTCTCCTCTTTCACTTTCATCAAGAGGCTCTATAGTTCTTCTTCACTTTCTGCCATAAGGGTGGTGTCATCTGCTATCTGAGGTTATTGATATTTCTCCCGGCAATCTTGACTCCAGCTGTGCTTCATCCAGCCCAGCATGTCTCATGATGTACTCTGCATATAAGTTAAATAAGCAGGGTGACAATATACAGACTTGACATACTCCTCTTTCTATTTGGAACCAGTCTGTTGTTCCATGTACAGTTCTAACTGTTGCTTCCTTACCTGCATACAGGTTTCTCAAGAGGCAGGTCAGGTGGTCTGGTATTCCCATCTGTTTCAGAATTTTCCACAGTTTATTGTGATCCACACAGTCGAAGGCTTTGGCATAGTCAATAAAGCAGAAGTAGATGTTTTTCTGGAACTCTCTTGCTTTTTTGATAATCCAGTGGCTTTTGGCAATTTGATCTCTGGTTCCTCTGCCTTTTCTAAAACCAGCTTGAACATCTGGAAGTTCACAGTTCACATATTACTGAAGCCTGGCTTGGAGAATTTTGAGCATCACTTCACTAGTGTGTGAGATGAGTGCAATTGTGCAGTAGTTTGAGCATTCTTTGGCATTGCCTTTCTTTGGGATTGGAAGGAAAACTGTCCTTTTCCAGTCCTGTGGCCACTGCTGAGTTTTCCAAATGTGCTGGCCTATTGAGTGCAGCACTTTCACAGCATCATCTTTCAGGATTTGAAATAGCTCAACTGGAATTCCATCACTTCCACTAGCTTTGTTTGTAGTGATGCTTCCTAAGGCCCACTTGACTTCACATTCCAGGATGTTTGCCTCTAGGTGACTGATCACACCATCATGATTATCTGGGTCATGAAGACCTTTTTTGTACAATTCTTCTGTGTATTTTTTGCTACCTCTTCTTAATATCGTTTGCTTCTGTTAGGTCCCTACCATTTCTGTGCTTTATTGAGCCCGTCTTTGCATGAAATGTTCTCTTGGTATCTCTGATTTTCTTGAAATGATCTCTTGTCTTTCCCATTCTATTGTTTTCCTCTATTTCTTTGCATTGATCGCTGAGGAAGGCTTTCTCATCTATCTGTGCTGTTCTTTGGAACTCTACATTCTAGTGGGTATATCTTTCCTTTTCTCCTTTGCTTTTTGCTTCCCTTCTTTTCACAGCTATTTGTAAGGCCTCTTCAGACAGCCATTTTGCTTTTTTGCATTTCTTTTTCTTGGGGATGGTCTTGATCACTGCTTCCTGTACAGTGTGATGAACCTTTGTCCATAGTTCTTCAGGCACTCTGTCTACCAGATCTGGTCCCTTAAATCTATTTGTCACTTCCACTGTATAATCATAAGAGATTTGATTTAGGTCATACCTAAGTGGTCTAGTGGTTTTCTCCACTCTCTTCAATTTCAGTCTGAATTTGGCAGTAAGGAGTTCAAGATCTGAGCCACAATCAGCTCACAGTCTTGTTTTTGCTGACTGTGTAAAGCTTCTCCATCTTTGGCTGCAAAGAATATAATCAATCTGATTTTGGTGTCGACCATCTGGTGACGTCCATGTGTAGAGTCTTCTCTTGTGTTGTTGGAAGAGCGTGTTTGCTGTGACCAGTACATTCTCTTGGCAGAACTCTATTTGCCTTTGCCCTGCTTCATTCTGTACTCCAAGGCCAAATTTGCCTGTTACTCCAGGTGTTTCTTGACTTCCTACTTTTGCATTCCAGTCCCCTATAATTAAAAGGACATCTTTTTGGGGTATTAGTTCTAAAAGGTCTCGTGGGTCTTCATAGATCTGTTTAACTTCAGCTTCTTCAGTGTTACTGGTTGGGGCATAGACCTGGATTACTGTGATATTGAATGGTTTGCCTTGGAAACAAACAGAGATCATTCTGTCATTTTGAGATTGCATCAAGTACTGCATTTCAGACTCTTTTGTTGACTCTGATGGCTACTCCACTTCCTCTAAGGGATTTGTGCCCACAGTAGTAGACATAATGGTCATATGAATTAATTTACCCATTGCAGTCCATCTTGGTTCACTGATTCCTAGAATGTTGATGTTCACTCTTGTCATCTCCTATTTGACCACTTCCAGTTTGCCTTGATTCGTGGACCTAACATTCCAGGTTCCTATGCAATATTGTTCTTTACAGCCTCGAACCTTGCTTCTATCACCAGTCCCATCCGCAACTGGATGTTGTTTTTGCTTTGGCTCCATCCCTTCTTTCTGGAGTTCTTTCTCCTCTGATCTCCAGTAGCATGTTGGGTACCTCCTGACCTAGGGTGTTCATCTTTCAGTGTCCTATCTTTTTGCCTTTTCATACTGTTCATGGGGTTCTAAAAGCAAGAATACTGAAGTGGTTTGCCATTCCCTTCTCCAGTGGACCACATTCTGTCAGACCTCTCCACCATGACCCGTCTGTCTTGGGTGGCCCCACATGTCATGGCTTAGTTTCATTGAGTTAGAGAAGGCTGTGGTCCATGTGATCAGTTTGGCTACTTGTCTGTGATTGTGGTTTCAGTCTGTCTGTCCTCTGATGCCCTCCCTCAGTGCCTACTGTCTTACTTGGGTTTCTCTTACCTTGGATGTGGTGTGTCTCTTCACGGCTGCTCCAGCAAAGCACAGCTGCTGATGCTTACCTTGAACATGGGGTAGCTCCTCCCGGCCGCCACCCCTGACCTCAGGTGTGGAGTAGCTCCTGTTGAGCTATTTAAAATCCTTAAAGATGATGCTGTGAAAGTGCTGCACTCAGTATGCCAGTAAATTTGGAAAACTTACTAGTGGCCACAGGACTGGAAAAGGTCAGTTTTCATTCCAATTGCAAAGGAAGGCAATGCCAAAGAATGCACAAACTACTGCACAATTGCACTCATCTCACACACTAGCAAAGTAATGCTCAAAATTCTCTAAGCGAGTCTTCAACAGAACGTGAACCGTGAACTTCCAGATGTTCAAGTTGGCTTTAGAAAAGGCAGAGGAACCAAGATCAAGTTGCCAACATCCATTGGATCATCAAAAAAGCAAGAGAGTTCCAGAACAACATGTATTTCTGGTTTATTGACTGTGCCAAAGCCTTTGACTGTGTGCATCACAACAAACTGTGGAAAATTCTTAAAGAGATGAGCACACCAGACCACCTTACTCCTGAGAAGTCTGTATACAGGTTAAGAAGCAACAGTTAGAACTAGACTTGGAACAACAGACTGATTCCAAATCAGTAAAGGAGTATGTCAAGGCTATATATTGTCACCCTGCTTATTTAACTTATATGCAGAGTACATCATGAGAAATGCTGGGCTGGATGAAGCACAAGCTGGAATCAAGATTGCCGTGAGAAATATCAGTAACCTCAGATATGCACAGGGCACCACCCTTATGGCAGAAAGCAAAGAACTTGAGCCTCTTGATGAAAGTGAAAGAGGAGAGTGAAAAAGTTGGCTTAAAACTCAGCATTCAGAAAGCTAAGATCATGGCATCTGGTCCCATTACTTCATGGCAAATAGAGGGGAAACCGTGGAAACAGTGAAAGACTCTAGTATTTTGGGCTCCAAGATCAGTGCAGCCATCAACTTTTCTTCTCCTTGGAAGAAAAGTTATGACTAACCTAGACAGCTTGTTAAAAAGCGGAGACATCACTTTGCCGACCAAAGTCCATCTAATCAAAGCTATGGTTTTTCTAGTATTCATGTATAGGTGTGAGAGTTGGACTATAAAGAAAGCTGAGCACCTAAGAATTGATGGTTTTGAACTGTGATTTTGGAGGACTCTTGAGAGTCCCTTGGACTGCAAGAAGATTCAACCAGTCCATCCAAAAGGAAATCAGTCCTGAATATTCACTGGAAGGACTGATGCCAAAGCTGAAACTCCCATACTTTGGCCACCTGATGCAAAGACCTGACTCATTGGAAAAGACCTTGATGCTGCGAGAGATTGAAGGCGGGAAGAGAAGGGGACTACAGAGAATGAGATGGTTGGATGGCATCACTGACTCAATGGACTTGAGTTTGAGTAAACTCTGGGAGTTGCTGATAGACAAGGAGTCCTGGTATGCAACAGTTCATGGGGTTGCAAAGAGTCGGACACGACTGAGCAATGGAACTAAACTTGAACATGAACTGAACATGTTCCCATTTCCCTAAATTTAATTAAATCTCAAAATAGTTATTTAATATCTGACCCACTATAAAATTCAAGAGAAATTAATATATGTTAATTTCATTGGTTTGGCTAAACTTGGTTAATGTTTTAGATCATAATGGTAATAAAACTGAATATCCTTGCCAGGTACTGTGCTAGGTACTTTATAAATATTATAGACTCATCAGATATAATGATCTGAACTTATGTGGGTTAATATTGATTTGATCATAAATGACATTGTTACATTGTATAGAAATGTTTTTTAATGCCTTCAGCAAACAGTCTTCCAGATACACTTTCAAACAAGATTATGAAGTATTGCCTTGGGAATTGGGAAATGGAGGTGTTATTCCCCTGCTCAGAAAAGTAGCAGATGTGCTAGGATCGGGAGGTGTATATGATTAACTTTATTTTAGGCTTGCTGCAGTTTCCTGAAGCCCCAGCCTATTGTCTGATAAAAACTAGCCTTGAACAATGTAACATTCTTATGTGGAATCATTTCAGATTTTTAAAGCCTTCCTTTGAATGTAATGCTTAGACTACTGGATTGAACTTTAATTTTGCTTCAGAAATAATAGAAAATGTCTAAATAAAAATTTTTTTGTAAAATATGACCTCATTTTGTTTTCAAATGGTGGATTCTATGTTTTGCAGATGTGTCTTGCTGAATCAGGGCTCTCTTATCCCTGCCATCGACTTACAGTGGGAAGAAGATCTTCACCTGCACAGACCCGGGAGCAATCTGAAGAGGTAGGCATGTTTGCTAGCTTTTCATCAAACATAATGTCTGTCCTTGCTCACCTGCCCACTTCCTATTCTTTTTTATTTGCCACAGCAAAGAATAGGTAGAGTTAATGTGGCATGAATAACATCTCAGTAAATACTTAAAGGCAGAAACTTTCTAAGCAAGATTATTGCTAATGTGCTTCTTCTTGTTCTATAAGTTTCATATTTCAAACAGACAGAACTGAGGTGGATCAGTTTAAATGATTTTTACTTAGAATTGTCTGGTTAACAAAGGAATTTTTTAGCTGCTGACTATATAGTAGACTACATTTATTAGAATTCATCCTGAAGGTCCTTTAACTCATAGAGCTGGATCACTTTCTATGTGCCAAACATTGTCCTTAGTACTAGGGAACAAAGATGAATAACAGTGTACCTATACCAAGGTGCTCAGATTCAAAGGTGATACACTAGTAAACCAATAATAATGGCAAATGTAATCAATGCAGTGATAACAGTGCATCACCGGGTGCTGTAGAGACAAAGAGGGGCAAGGAGAGTGAACATGTGTGTATATGTGGTGTGCCTGCATGTGTCTTTGCAGGTCTGAAACTGTATTAAAAGGCAGAATCTTTTCCTTGGGTACAGTAGCACTGTGTCCAACTGTGACTCGGGTATAAGGGAATGAGAAAGACAGCTTGGACATTGCACTTTTATCAGTTTTAGAAGTATTTATTGGGACTTACTGGTGGTCCAGTGGTTAAGACTCTATGCTTCCAGTGCAGTGGGGGCAGTTTCGATCTTTAGTTATAGCATGGGAACTCTTAATTTTGGCATGTGGTATCTAATTCCCAGACCAGGAGTCATACCCCAGGCTCCCTGCATTGGAAGCATGGAGTCTTAGCCACTGGACCACCAGAGAAGTCCCCCCAAAGTTTACATTAGTACAGTAAAACCTTTTCCATTTACTTTCTATACAAAATATGGTTGCAAATTTTTATTTAAACTTAGATATTTTGGACATTTATTATGGAAGCTGCCACAAAATCTCTCTCACTATTCTCTGAATATGTAATTGCATCATTTAAATATGTAAAAAAGAAAAGGGACTGAATAACTAAAGTTGTAATCTGTGATCATCTTGGGAAAATGACAATTTGCTACTCAATTTTTGGAAATCCATAAAGAAGGGAGGTTTTCCCCCCCACCACAAATACTACTATACTATTTCTTTAGGTTTCTAAAAATGTTAATTTCCTTTAAAGAGCCCACACCATTTTTCCAACACTTTATCTCGCTAATTCCTCATGAAAGGAAAAATAATATTGAGTTTCACTGCTTGGCAGAAACTGCCAAAAACAATTTATTGAAATATTTCCTTCTACTGCTTGAGTATATTTTTAATGGCTAAAGTAAGCTATGCTTCAACCCGTTAATGAATAAATCTGCTAATATTAAAAGGAAGCCAACTAGCTCCACCCAGAATTCTTAATGATTTTAATGCTCTTAAGAGGTGACAGTTACCTGTTTCATTTCATTTTCTTTCCTTTTCTCACCCTCACGATTATATGTGTTATTTGGGCATTCCATTCAGTGGAGTGTGTGGCTCAGCTGGTAAAGAATCTGCCCACTGTTCAGGAGACCTGAGTTCAATTCCTGGATTGGGAAGCTCCCCTGGGGAAGGGAACAGCAACCCATTCTAGTATTCTTGCCTGGAAAATTCCATGGACTGTATAGTCCATTGGGTCACAAAGAGTCGGACATGACTGCAGGACTTCCACTTTCACTTTTTACTTTCAATGGAAGGAATTCAATGCCATAAATTGAGGAAAAGCGTATTAGAGGGTGGCATACACTTTAGATTAATTAAGGAAGAAAGTAGAGTGGGGTTAGGGAGCTTTGTAAAACTAAGAGAGCCACAGCCTTGAGGATATCTTTAAATCTGATTTTCTGGGATGAGTCCATTATTTTTCCTTCCCTGGCTAAGTAAATATACCACTTCCTCCAGGGTGCTGGTGAGAAATGGGAACGGAGCTGTGACTTGATTGTTATGTTGTCACAGAATTATGAAACTGGAAGGAATTTTTTATTTGATTTATACTTTCCCATCCATTTATTCCTCATTTATTTAAACATTTTTTCAATGTCTTCTACATGCCAAACATTAGGATCCCAGTCTTTGTGCTGAAAGAGCTCACACAAAATAATATCTGCATTTTATCTCTAATGGCAGGGTTCTGTCCTCATGAGGCAACTAGTTCCATTGTGGAGCATGTCTGTTGGTATCTACCCTATAGTAAATCGGAAGCTGTGCTTGTGTGGACCTGTGTATAATCCAGTGGTTCTACTTCTTTCCTCTTGTTTTCACCCTTCTCTTACATGACTTTGTGTGTTTCAAGATAATTACCACTTTGCTATTGACTGTCTTCAGCCTTGAGTTAGGAAGAAGATATTTGAGACCAGTGGTTAAATTCAGGTTTTGAATTTTATGCATTGTACTTATGTGTTCTTTAACTGGGAGAATTTTTTTCTTACATCGTCCTCTAGCCCTGCAAATACATTTTCCTTATAATTAATATTTTTTCGTTTCTTCCCATCTTCCCCTTGTTCCTGAGCTCCCTTTCAATGCTTATGTGCATGCTAAGCCGCTTCAATAGTGTCTGACTCTTTTGCGACCCTATGGGCTGTAGCCCACAAGACTCCTCTGTCCATGGGATTCTCCCAGCAAGAATACTGGAGTGAGTTGTCATGTCCTCCTCCAGGGGATCTTCCTAACCCAGGGATCGAACCCACATCTCCTATCTCTCCCACATTGGCAAGCAGGTTCTTTACCACTAGTGCCACCTGGGAAGCCCCTCCCTTTCAATGACCTTTCCATATTTCTAGGTACCTTAGCTAGGTATCTATCTCTCCTTATCCAGGCTGCTTGGGTGGAACATTACAGGGACCCCCCCTGGACCCAGGTTTTTTGAGAGTTGGCCAATCCTCAGTTGATAGTGTAAGAGTAGGAGGGATACTCCCAGAATAACAACAACAAAAATAAAATCCCAAATTTAAAATATAGTTAATGTTAAAGCTGTTGATTTGTAATTTCAGTTAAGCAGACATCTAATACTTACTGTGCTGATCAAATGAATATAAACTGAAAATTTCATATTATGTAATTAATGAGAAAGGTGAGATAAGCATAAGATACTAGAGAAACACACAGGGAAAGGGGTGCTGTAACCTTCAAGAATATATGTAGGCAAAAGCCTTGTCTGCCTTGTCTAACTCTGTAGCTACCTCTGTAGCTCTAATACCTAGTAAAGCTCCTGGTATATACCAGCCACAGAATAAATACTTTGTGAATGATTTTTTTTTTTTTTAAGAAAAAAGAGAAGGAAAGGGGGAACTAGAGCAATTTATATTCAAATCAAATGAAAATGAAAAGAATTGAGTCACAGCCAAATGAAGAAACATGGATGTAGTATTCCATTCAGAGGAAATAGCATGACTTGATGTAGTGAATGGGGAGACCTAAGTGCAGCTTGGTGTTCGTGCAAAATAAAGGGGGAGACAGAAAGATAAGAGATGAGATAAAGGTGAATAGGTTTTTATATCTCAAGTTGGAAACTTGAACTCTGGGCAGCCAGAAGACTTTTAACTGGAGGGTGATTTTTTTTTTCCTCCTAAGTGGACATTTTAGAGAAAAGCATTTTGACTGCTGTGCAGAGGCTACATGTAAGGGAAGCAAGACGAGAGGCAGAGAAATCAGATATGAATCTGTTGTACTAGTATAGGCAGAAGATAATGAGATCCTAAACTAGAACATCACTAGTCAAAAAAGAGAAGGAAATGGATTCAGGATATATTTTGGAGGGAAAATCAGTAGGACTGGTGGCAGACAGGATCTGTGGGAGAAGAAAGAGGGAGAGGATAAGAATACCTATATTTTGGCTTAATTGGCAGAAAAGATTTATTCAGTAGTTATTCAGTGAATTCTGGTCACATCCTTACTCTACCCCTGACACTGGCATAAGTGTTAGGAATATGGCTATGAACAAAAACAGTCTTTGCATGAAGGAGCTTGTTCCTAACTAAATGAAATTGAATGCACATAAATTGCCCAAAATTTGTGTTTCATTTTTTTTTAATATATGTATTTTATTGAAGTATAGTTGACTTATAGTGTTTCAGGTGCTAATCAAGGTGGTCCAGTTATACAAATACACATATATTATTTTTGAAAATTTTTTCCATCATAAGTGACTATAGGATATTGACCGTAGTTCCCTATGCTGTATAGTAAACCTTTGTTTCTTGTTGCATATCTATTTTTTAATAAGAAATATACATTCTATTCATACTAAGTCAAACAAGTGCAACCAAAATGTCATAATTTTCTTAGTTAGGCAAAAATTCATAAGCTTTCTAAAATACATATATTATACATATTTATATATGTGTGTATGTGTGTACAAAAGCTTTTCTACTACATTTGATAAAGGCTTGAAGAAGAACATCAAAAAAAAGATGGAGAAATTGGAGAACATAAACTAAATGAAAGTAAACACTGAATATGAAATAGAAAAAGTGAAACAAACTAGATAAAAGTAAAAGATCATCATATAGTCTAGTTTTTAAACATGACTGCCCATTAGAAACATAAATCTGGAGCTCTGGAGAAAAAGCAATACTTGAACATTTGTATTTTTCAGAAAATTTCAAGATAATTCTGATATGCATCTGGATTTTAAAAAGTGATTACAGGTTTTTCTATTAGATCCTAGTTTATCCTAGTTTTGGTGATATAGAGTTCTATTATTTTTCTGTTGACCAATCATGATACAATGGTATAAAGTGAGTAATAGTTACAGAATCACAGTAGTAGAACATGTTTATCAGTTTTCACAATCTATAGGCAGACAAAAAATAAAAGACAATTACAAATGCAAACAATAATTGGAACATGATTAGCTTAACAGTATAAAATAATTACATTCAGTTTGGGCAGATCAAGCAGAGTGATGTGGTAAGTGGAA